GAGATTGTGCCACTGCACTCTAGCAAGGCAACAGAGGGAGACTCCTTCTCAAAAAAAAAACAAAAAACAAAAAACAAAAACCATTGGGAAGAGCACAACGTAACTTCAATGGTAATTCTTATCCTAAGAAAACATCAGACAAACTCAAACTGGGGATGTTGTACAAAATCACTGATCAGGACTCTTCAAAAGCAGTTAAGTTGCAAAAATTATAGAAAGACTCCTCCAGACTAGATGAAACTAACAAGACGTCACAATTAAGTGTTGTATGGGATTCTGGACTGGATCCTGGGCTTTAAAAAGGACACTAGTAGGACAATCAGCAAACTGAAATAAGTTATTTAGGTTAGTTAGTGATGCTATTGTACCAACATCAATTTCTGTTTCCTTCACTGTACTACGGTTATGTAAGATGGTAACATTTGGGGAAGTTGCATCAAGGGTACATGAAAATCAGAGTAGTATTTTGGGGCAACTTTTTTCTAAGTCTAAAGTTATTTCAAACAAAAAGTTAAAAAATAAATAAATGTAGTCTCTGCCTTAAAAGAGTTGATAGATTTGGTGAAATACTGGCACACAGAGTTATGAAAGAAGAGAAGGACACGAACACCAAGGAGATACTATATTCAATGAGAAGTACTGTGGCTTTCTGGCATAACTTGTGATTTTATTACATTTTGAAATTTAAAATGTCATAGCAGGCTAGACCCGGTGGCTAATGCCTGTAATTCTAGCACTTTGGGAGGCCGAGGTGGCAGATCACTTGAAGTCAGGCATTCGAGACCAGCCTGGCCAACATCACAAAACTCCGTCTCTGTTAAAATACAAAAATTAGCTGGGCGTGTTTGTGCATGCCTGTAATCCCAGCTACTTGGGTGGCTGAGGCAGAAGAATCACTTGAACCTGGGAAATGGAGGTTGCAGTGAGCCGAGATCATGCCACTGCACTCCAGCCTGGGCAACATAGCAAGACTCTGTCTCAAAAATAAAATAAAATAAAAAAAAATGTCGCAGCATATTGCTTCTGGACTATGCTATCATCTATAAAAAGATTAGGCTGGAATGAACCTGTGAAACTTAGTTTCATATTTGTTATAAACCTTAAGGTGGAAAAGATATGTGTTAATCAATGTAAGAAACAACTTATAAAAACAATCTGGTACTCCTCCCTAAATTACACTCACAGAAACAGAAATTTAAAAAAACAAAAACAAAAATAAAAAGCACTTAAAACCCATGTCTGAGTTAAACTACCTTAGAATCTTGACATGGATCAAAATCAAAAGATAGTCCCTAAGCATCAATGAGACAGAAATATGCCAGTATCGATGTCCATCTGTACATACAGAGTAAAATATTGCTGGTGCCTGGCTTGTTCAGTCTCTCCACAGAAATTCTTATTTGAGTAGTCAGATTTCCAGATGTGGTGATGAGCACAGGTACTCATGAATAGATGAGAAATTATCTTTGCAGATGATGTTGACTTTGCGCTTGCATCAGTAATGATCAGATTCTGAGGTCAATTCTGAATTCAGTACCCATTAAAAGGCCTCTGGAGGGGAAGCGTCTGATAGCCTCTCTCCCTCTCCCCACTGTGGCCTCTGAGTCTTCAACAGATCATCACCCTGCACAGGACTCCTCACTATATAGTCAAGTATTAGTACAATTTAAAATTAGCATGAACTGTCAAGAACCCCAGCTGGCTTTTTTTTTTTCCACAACTGTTTCCCCATTTCTACGTACAGGAAACTGGAAATGTCTGTCACAAGGCCATTTTCTTCACTCTGCCAGAG